ATGCTGTAACCCACTGGGGCTGCTTCTCTCACTGTCAGTATCAAGCGCCTTTTGAGCTTTTTCACCAAACAAAGAAGCTATTTGGCACACAGAATGAAAGTACTGTGTGGGGTAATGGCTACTATGTATATTTTTACTTTCAGACGGGCAGAATGGCCTGAAACCAAAAGTCCTTCAGAAACGGGCACCGAAAGGGTGAGGCCTGCACGCGGGTCGTCCCCCGTCCTCAGCCTCCAGCCGCAGACGTCGGGAAAGAACACCCAGCCTCCAAAGCCAGCAGCAGCGCCCAGAACACGGCGGGAGCCCAGAGACAGCCCCCGAGAGCTGAGCCCCCAAGGGAAGGGCGCACAGGCAGCTGAGGCAGCTTCGGGAAGAATTCCAGCACGCCCGCCCTGGACACAGCCCGTTCCACAGAAGGGGCTCCAGTCTCCTCGCTGATCCCGAAAAGCCTCCTGCTGGGGCCCCTCCCTGCCCCGCTCTGCCTGCACTCTGAGACTCAGACTTCCGCCTTTTCCCTTCCCTGCATAATTCCCAAGCCCAACAAGGTTTAGAGAGACTCACTGCCTGAGTCCTGGGCCAGAGACACGGGCTGCACTCCTAGAGGTGGGGTCAGGACTGGAGCTGGGCCCTGCAGAAAACCCCACTCTGAGCCGATCCTACTAACGGGGGCCGCCGGGATCCTCCTTCCAGCCCTCCTGGAACTGTACAGGTGCCCACTAGTGCCCCCATGACATAAGGATGGTCAGCGGCAGGACCCCTCCTTGGACCTGCCCTCGGAGCAGTCACTAGGGCAGTGAGGTTGGATGCTGAGGGCTGGCACCCGGGTCAAGGCAGGTCCTGCAGCCCCGGCGTCTCTTATGTCCCAGCACCCTTGCCCTCCTTCCCAGGGAAACAGCTCGTCGTGTCCCTGCTTCAAAGGAGGGATGAAACAGGACTCTGCCCCAGAGAGCTGGGGGCCCACATCTGAGCCCCTCACATCTGAGCCCCTCACATCCTTCCAGCAATTCGCACTCCTAGAAGTAGACTTTAGGGGAAGAGACGGAATGAAATCACGACACCGGTCTCAGAATCCCAGAGCTCAGGGTAGGGCCTCAGTCCTGCCACCAATGAACCAACTGCCATACCTCTGAGCCTCTATCCGGGCTGCGTTCCTCCACTCTCAAGAGAAGAAAGGCCTCTTGAGGTATTTCAACCAAAAAGGAACGAGAAACAAATATAGAATAAAAGTATAACCACGGAATAAGAGCAACTACTTGACTATATAGACAAACGTGCAAAGCAGACCAAACGAAGCGCCCTTGGAAATGCACCAACAGGATGGTGCCGTCTGGAGGGCAGGATGGCGCAAAGGGCCTGCAAACGTGAAGTGGCCAGTGCGCGTGGTGCTGGGGGGGGGGGCGGGAGAGAGGACGGCCGCTCACTGAAGCCTAGGCTGAGGACAGCAAAGGGAAATGGGAAAATGAGGCCTCACTTTCAGGCCAGGGGGCTCAGACGCTTCAGAGATGCTTCAATGGGGACACGTTTATATATTCCTGTGGTCCTGAGGGAAGCAAACTCACAAACCTGTCTGGAAATGTCCAACCACAGTACAGAACGTCATTCATCGTCCATAAGCCAGCGCATTCCGCTCAAAGTGTCCCCCGCGTACTGACTGCATGTTTCCAGAACTAGTGGGACAGAAAAACTGACAGTGCCCAATAAATGCGAGATATTATTCTCCCATCTGGAGTAGGAGACGTCCCGTCACTAGGCTGTCCTTCCCCAAACAGCCTTTCCAAGGCTGGGTGCCGAGGGCTGGCCGCTCACCTCCTAAGGCGCCGGCTGGCTCTGCGGCCCACACTGCTCGGCCCCGGGCGGAAGGTCGGGTCCATGACGCCCACCCATCTATCCCTGGTGATGGCAGAGGCCGATCAACGCATTCGCTGGAACAAAGAGCAGAAGAAATACGTAAACTGTATTTGGGTTTTTGCTGCTGAGGTTGTAAAGCCTAACTTCCACCTCTTATCTTAGGGTTTATTTTTTAACACCATATACACAGTGTAGTTTGGAAAGTCCAAGTCTTGTTATAGGAAAACCAGCAAATCTCTAACCCGCTTACCCTCACGTTCTTCCTGCCCCTGAGCCAAGCGCTCTCGGCGACGAGTTGGCTCCTCTGGTTTGCGTCTCCGCGTCCCCGAGTGTCACACCCACGTTCTCAGATTCCGGGTTACCTGCGGACCCGCCGATTGCGTGCGATGGGGCCTGGCTCCTTATCGCACAGCACTGCTTCCAGCATTCTCCCCCCCCCGCCCCCCCCCCCCCCCCCCCCCC